TATATAAAAAAATATTTAAATATATATATATAAATATATTAAATTTTATTTATATTTTTTTTTTTTTTTTTTTTTGCAAAGTTGACGACTGTAGCTTTAAGGTGCTGGAATAACTCAAACCTCAGGCCTGCAGAAAAGTTGTGGATTATGTCTGAAAGCTAATCTGTCCCAGGAAACCAATCAGTTTTAATCCAGTGGGTGTGAAATCCCGCAACAACTTGCAGCTGTAAAGTTGTTCAGATGGAATCATTCAGCCCCTGAAAATGTCTGATCCCTGAATTATAGTTTAGAAACAAGAAGTACTCTGTGGTGAATATTTATGTGGTGACCACAGTTTAGAGCTGTGGTCACCACGTTCTCCTGGAGATCCGAATCTCCAGGAGAACGTGTAAATATTTTTTTCAAATTTGAAAAATATAATTTTTTTTTTTTTTTACAACAAAGAAAAGTTTGCTAATGTTGACATTTGATGTGGACGGCTGTCTTTGTATCACACAGTCATGGATGTGATAATGCCATAACATTTAGCCACGGCGCTGACTATACTTGGTGCTTAACTGTAACATTTATACTACATAAGAGCTATATTATTACCATTTATAACACATACATTTTCATAACTCTCGCAAATATCAAAAGAGCTGATCTGCAGTTAAAGAGAAGCTTTAACTTGGACACCCAAAAAGACTTTGACGCAATAACCTGATGTTTAACTCATCACCAGTTACTCTAAATAACCTCATGTGCACAAAGACCACATTACTTCTGAAACTGAGCGCAGCCTCAGTGCCTGCTCAGCTCTAGTGTTTCGAGTCAACCAACCATCAACTGATTCCCTCGCTGTGACGATGGAAGTCGTTTGAATTACCTGCAGCTGAACGTGGATATTGAATGGAGGTTTGAGGCCGCCCGCTGAACGCGCAGCCCGATCATGTTGTGAGTGATTTATAGACGCGGGCTTCCACAGGCACCCACGGGTGGGTGGTTGTCTTGTGATTTGTCTGTCATTTCTTCTGTCTGTCTGTTTTTCTTTCTCTCTCTCTCTCTGTCTCTCTCTCTCTCTCTCTTGGCCGGGCCAAGTGCAAATCCCAACCATTCAACAGTTCTGGAGAGTAGATTGTATTAATCTCAATAATGGTAGTCTCCTTCCGTTTCTTTCTCACTCTCAACCCAGACGACGGCTCCAAGCCCACCCCCACCATGGAGACCCACATCCCTCCCGAGGGCGAAGGTAAGCTTCCCCTTACAGCTCTTCGGCCGTTACAGCACGGTCGAGACGGTCGCCTCGACGACTAAATGCGCATACCACAGACCCGTGATGGCTCTCCGGGGTCAAACGCGGCTCACATAATTGCTCCTTTGTGAGCTCAGGCTCATCGTATTCCAGCAAATTGCAGCAGCCGTACTTTGTCAACAAGTTCATTTCCAAACCTAAGATCTATTCTCTTCAAAAACATAATAAAAGAAAAACACCACCTAATGGAAATATCCAGATGTCAAAAATTGCATTTCATATTTGATGTCTTTTGACTTTTAATGCTGTTTTAAGTTTGGTTTTGTGGGCAAAAACCAGACTGCTGAATAAGTTAGACATTATATTAAAGTAAATACCTCTATTTGTGAATGCTACTGACCTCTCCTCTGTCATGCTGCCACCGCAGAGATAACTGCTCCGACACTATGGATAAAACATCTGGGCTACATGGAGAATAAGCAGAACAGCTCCACTTCCAGAAGGCAAGGTGAGACTAGAAAACACACTCTGACAACGTCGGCACGCTCCCTTCTGTTCAGATTAGATCATTTTTATAGTATTTATTGACAATTATTTATTGACTTAAAATAAGCTCCTACATCTTGGTGAAAAGTTACTTGTGAGTTTGTTTTGTCTTATTTCAAGTGCGCCAAGATATTTGCACTAGAAACCAAAACAAAACACTTTTCTCAATGCAAAAACACTAGAGTGTTTTTGCATTGTTCTTGCAGTGTGTGATGTGTTGAGAGTGATCTGGTCCGTTCCGATCTGAAATTTTGCATGTTGGACTGTCGATGTGTGATGTTCGCCAAAGACAAACGACAGCACAGCCTGTTGAATGTGACGTGTAGCCAATCATAAAGCGAGGTGGCGGAAAAACGAAGGGGAAATCTAAAACATACAGAAGACAAAACATCTGCCTTGGCACCGCAGAAAGTCCAATGGATGTTGGAAACATATTCGTTTTGCCTTTTCTCTGTTAAACGTAGTCCACAAACCTTCGCCATTGCTTCTTCCCAGTCGGCCATGTTTGTTTCCTGTGAACTCACATTTGTTCGAGAGGTTTTGTCAGATTTCCCATCTGAAATCTGCATGTTGGTGGCGAGTGAAATCGGTTTGTGTGTGTTGTGTTGCCCCTGCCGTGTGGCACACTGTACGCTGTGCGACCAAATCTGACGGGTTTTGAAAATCGGCAGACAATTTTAAAATCTTGCCGTGTGAACCAGGCATTACTTTCTCACAACTTAACTGTTACTTTCCTGTAATGTCTATGAAACTTCATTCATACTTACCAGATACTCTCTGGGAACTCTTATGGAGCTTCCCAGGTACTTTCCAAAATGTGTTACTTCTTCTGTGGAAGTAATTTCTAAATTGTGAAAAATGAATCCGGAAAGTACCAGGTAAGTTCCGGGAAAAAACTTTTACGAGAAACACCTGAAAAGTTTTAAGAAAGTTCTGGAGAGTTGTGGAAAGTACCAGTAAAGTTCACCAAAAGTAACATTGACTTTATGGAAAACTAAGGGCTGAATTAGTAATGGCTACTGACACAGTTTCCTTTAATCTGTTTCAAAACAACTAATAGTTAAAATGTTAAGTAACATAATATATGGAAAACAGAATTGTTATATTTCAGTAGAATATCGCAGTTAACCTTTATATTCCTCACTCCTCTCTTTCTTTTCCAACATCAACATAATGTCCTGTTTAGCATCTCAGCCACAAAGTGAAGTCAGATGTGATCAACAAGGACAGATTTTGAGATTGACTCTGATTTCAATATGCATGCACTCTATTTCTGATCCACATGTTGATCTGCTTGTTTACTACCCTTCACGCAACGGATATTTTGAATTCATGATGCTGCTTTATATCTACACACATCACTTCATCCGTCTTATTTCCTTCCTGAACTCAGTTTTCATATTTCATCTCGCATTTCATGCTTCATTGCAAACAGCAGAAGATCCCAGTGATTGCATCTTGTGTTTCTCTAAGTACTTTTGACTGATGGCAACGCAGCAAAGGAAGCTGCGGTCTGGCGCGCAGTGAAGACCTAGAGTTTCTCAGATATATTTGCAGTGGCAGCTCTTTGAAAGCTCAGTGGAAACTCCGGCTTCCTGTTTCCAGTTAGCATCTGAAGACCTCAAAAGGACAAACGGACAAAGCCTGCTCGAGGGGGAGCTGTCATCACGTCTGAGACGTGAGCGAAGTGTGCGTCCGCATCTGTAACTCCACACTGCGCTTTGTTTCTGTTTCTTGAGTTGAAGGAGTGTGCAAAGAAGCAGCAGAAGCCAAGTACGTTCAGCCACCAGCGGGGTAAACATGCCAAGCGCATGGACAATTAGTGAATTTCGAAAAGTAATGGATGGTTTAGTGATTCAGAAATTGTGCTTTGTTGAACTCAACCCATTAGCTTCTTGTCGAGGTGGATATTCTTGAAATTCTTTTTTTTTTTTTCATAAACGCTTCTGTTCATGGAGTGGAAAGTAATTACTCTCAGATTATTAGATGTTAGGATGTTTTTATGAATTACCAGTAGCAGATACAGGAAGGGGAGAGCACATTAGCAACAATAAAGTTCCATGTTCAACCCTTGGTAAGTTAAGTTAGTTTAACTTAACTAGTAAAGTAAAGATGCTGTAGTCAATATTTCTTTGATAAATAGGTGACACAAAAAATCTGAAATCTTGCTGATTTTCTTTATTTAATTTCTTTATTTGTAGTTAAATTGATAAATTAATTGAATTAATAAGTTTTTAAAATGTATATATTAAAAAATGTATGTAATTGTCTTTTTTTTGTTGTTTTTTTTGTGTTTTTTTTTTCAGTTTTGCACCTTCATATGTTATGGCAAATTGGGACATTTGCTTTTCCCCCCAATCCCCAAACGACCTAAAAATGGTAAAATAACCACAACTGCGTGATTTTTTAAATCTGTTTTTCAATTGTTTAAGTTCTTAGCCAACTCTTCAGACCTTCAGATGTATTTTTAGGTATTTCCAAGCAGAAAAGGATTCGTAAACTTGAAGTCACTTGAGCTGCGCTATGTTTCTGTTTACCTTTAGCTAAATAAAAGCGTTAGCTACCAGCTCGCTCGTCGCTGTGTTTTCATGGGAAGCGTTTTGCTTCTTCCTGCCAGTGTTTGAGGCCAGAGTGGCTTAAAAGCGTAAGCAGTCATCTGTAGCAATGCTTTGCTTTCTTTGCACGGTGGAAGAATCCTCCCCGTTTTAAAGTCTTCACAGCTTTTCCCCTTTTCCTGGAAAAACCTGAGTCCTAACCAACCAGTCAAGAGCGCTGACGTCCGTGTCTCTGGATAACCCCGCCACTGTGACGGACAGCGGAGCGGAGTAAATGTTTGTGAAGAGTGTTTGCTTAGGCAAACCGACGCAAAGTCCATTTTTTCCCCCCAAACAGATGCGTCGCTGCCAGAATCTGATGACGCGTTCAAAGTCTGGAAAGCGCTCCGTCATTTACGGAACTGCGCTCGCTAGCCGTGGACTTTCCCCGTCTGAGACTCATCTTTTTCGTCTTTTGATCCAATCGTTTTTGTCTCGGGGCGGTGCCGGGGCATTCACATCTGTTTGACTTTGCGGCACAAAAAGTGAAGACTGAGAGACGGGGACGGGGGAAGTAACGAACGACGTGTTGAAAAGCTGCGAAAGGAGCTGAAATTTTCCGTGACCGAACCCTTCATCGTCTCGACGCATGCACCTAAAAGCCTTCCTCGGCACGGTTTTCCCCGGCTTTATTTCAGCTGCTGCTTTAACTGCAGCGGAGGCTTCCTAGAAACAATACTGCAACGATTAGCCCACAGCTGAAAGCCATTGGAGCGGAGAGGAGAAAGTGACGGGAGACGGGAGCGATGGAGGGAGAGCAGGTTTAAAGAGACGGGATGGAGGGAAGTGGAGGACAGAAGAGCAAAAAAGGAAGGAAGAGAAGACACCATTTGTAAATAGTCTCACCTGAATAATGACGGCCAGAGTGGGATGAATAAAACGAGCTAATTAAATGTACTTTAGATGGTCATTTTCTGTCTTTGAACCAAAACTGTGGAGCAAATTGCCCCAGTCTGTCCTACTTGCTCTTGTGTAAGTTTTCTTTTAGGATATTTACTTCCAGAGGGTTTGTGTTCTCTCTTCCAGTCCCTGCTGACAAAAAACAAAACAAAAAAAAAACAAAAAACTTAGAAATTGACAAAACAAGGAGAAAAATGATTGGAAATAAAGATTTTCATGACGGGCAGGGAGGATGGATATTTCCAATCCGCACAAACCTGAAGGATTTCCAGCATGAACCGTTTTTCATTTGTAAAATATGTACAGAATCTTTTAATTTTTTTTTGGCTCCAGCATAAAACTCTGTGTAATAAACTGTTTTAATTCATTATTTTGAGAATGGGGGTGTTTGACATGAGAGGCTCAACAGAACACATTCAGTTCTGTGTTGGTATCTCGTTTGGCAGCTGGGATTAGAACCGACGCTGGACATGACTCAAGCCTTTCCATTGCAACACTGTCTGTACAACGTCTCAGATAATAAAAGGTGGTGAAAAAGCTTTGTCAGTAATTTCAGAAAGTGAAATATAGCATATTTAATTTTGATGATTGTGGCTTGTAGATAATGAAGACCCAAAATTCAGTGTTTCCAGAAATTAGAATATAGCTAAAATGGTGTATTAGTGCTAAAAGAGAAAAAAAATATTTCTCTATAAATCGTCTTAGTTTGAAAAGTGAAGTCAGTTTTTGGGTTGCCAGATATTTTCTGGGAAAAAAAAACAAATATTTCTTAAGTCGAAAGTGTTTTGGCTTTTGTGAATTTTCTGAAAAGTCAAAAACTTTTTACCTTGAAACTTAGAAATGTTCATGTCTTTAAATTTATTAAGATTAATCAAAAAAAATTCTGATTTTTTTTTCTAGAAATTTTTTTTACTTTTCAAACTCAGATAATGTCTGTTTTTTGGCGGAAACTTGCTCTTTTTTTTAAATCATCAATGGCTCTAATTGGCCGTCGTAGATGAATTCTAATTTCAAAAGACACTGAACTTACATTATTTTTAAGACACAAACATACTAGTTCCACTGGCAGATTATTTTACTAACATGTGAAAAACGTTTTGTTATAAGAAATAATCTAATCTGCCAGTGGAACTAGTACTTTTTAAAAAAACAATATTAAGGAATTAGTGACTTATAAAAAAAGCCTATATTTTGCTGAAAAATTACATTAAAGCTAGCTTTGACTTATTTCAAGCGTACTAAGATATTTGCACTAGAAACTAGACCAGAAATCTTTGGTAAGATTTCATGTTTTTTGATTTTATTGACCAACCTTGTTTCTCTGTTTTTCTGCTGTAACTCGTTTTCCAGAAAAGGTTCCCTCTTGTGACCAGGAGAGACAGAACGCCCTGAACGAGGCTCAGCAGAGTTCTCGGGAGTCCATTATCATTCCGGACTGTGGGTTCGGAGGTCTTTACAAACCAGTCCAGTGCCATCAGCATACTGGTTACTGCTGGTGTGTTTTAGTGGACACGGGACGGCCCATCCCCGGAACGTCAACCTTGTAAGATCTTTCAGCAAAAAGACACCGAAGAGAACAACTGTGGTTTGGTCTTTATTAGTTTACTGCTCATGTATGTTTTTTTTGTTTTTTTTTCAATAACTGTAAAATTTACTAGTAAGAATCACCTGCCTGGTGTGTGAAAGTCAAATTATGTTGTCAGCTTCAAAGCTTAAGCTAGGCAAATTACTCCAACTAAACCAAAACAGTCAGATTAACTGCTGAGTGAAACATGATTCACAGGAAATGATTCCCCTAAAGCCTCGGATACAAACCATCAGCAAAACACTTTTTAGATTTCACAACTAGAAAAAGAATCATAAATGTGTTAGATGAACACTATGAGGTGGAAGCTAAGGGTTCAAAGCGCATGCGCATTCTGTGACATGCTGAAATCACAGCGCCATCTAGCGGTCTGGAACGACAACTACAGCTGACTCAAGGTGTCCTGGCGGTGCCGTCTAAACGTGAAACTATTTCCCCATTCGACATTGGAAAATACAGCCAGGACAGCGGTGTTGTTTAAACATACCCTAATACTATACCATGCAGACGCTCTGCCTGCACTGATGAATATTTACTCATATTGGAATGAAAAATACTCAAAGTGTCTCAAAATAATTGCAGGCGCCCCTCATTTTTGATTGACTCCCTTTTAGGTACTTAAAATTGACATTTTGTTTTTATTCCCAGGAACTTTCCTTTAACGTTGCTATTATTTTGAGAGTTTTTTCACTGTGAAGTCCAAAACACTTTCTTCCACTGTCATTGTCTTGACTGACTTTCACTCAGTGTCTCAGTGTGGGAGCAAAGCTTCAGTTGCGAAAACAAAAGCTGTGAGTTTTGGGAATAGGATGCAAGAAAACTATCGAGATACCCTAGTTCCTGGAAGAGATTCCTGTAGTCATGGAAACATATCAAGCATTGAACTTTCATCCAGAGGCAGCACTACAAAGTTTAAAGTAATTAACCCGTCCAGGCAGGTAGCATAAATTTATTCACCCTTCATCCCAACACGCACGCACTGTTCAAAATGGCAGTGAGCATAGCTTTCTACTCCGTTTCGACCCACATGTCGCATCTTTCAACGTGCCGTGAGCTGTGTTTTCAAAGAATCTCTTTATCAAATCTCGCTGTTTGTCATGAAAGAAAAAATAAAAATAAACACTCCAACTTTTAGACCCAGGCCTCTCTTAAATGTTTACTTAGCAAAGTGAATAATTTCAAGCAATGATGTCAGTATTGGTTAGCTAGCTGTAAACACTCGGCCTGTGAAAGGCCCTGTGTTTTCAGTTCGGCCTCTGGTGTTTACTTTGCTTTTAGCCATTGGCAGCGACCTATATTTATATTTTGTGTTGGTCTTTGTTAGAGGGATCTCCAAAACCAGAAATATGACGAATAATGATGCTTTAAACTAATGTTTGCATAAGCAGTGTCTTGTTCAGTTTGTGTTGAGAACAAGGATATCGGACCTCAAACGAGAAAATGAGACAAATAGATGTTTGGACAACCGTAGACGCGTGTGAGCGCATGGACACAGAGGACGGCTTGTGTTTTAGAGGATAAAATAAAATGTCAAATTATACAAAAAGTAAATATTTTCCGTTTTAATACACAACGTGTCAAAGTTGCGAATCCATCTGATGCCTTTTTTAGTGTCAAATGAATCTTTTGTGTCATAACTTCGACCAACCGGGCTGAATTCTTACTTTCATTTCAAGAAAACAGGAAAGAAAACACTCCTGAGGGGATTGTTTCCGTATCTAAAGGTGCATTGCCCTCTCTTCTCTTTTACTTCCCCGGTTTCTTTTCTCCGGACAGTGGTGTCCAGGGTTTGGTCGCGGGCTAGGCAGACAGTAGAAAACAGTTGATTTGAAAAAGCAAAAATGAGGCACACGTGCTCCACTTCTCGTTGCATTCAAAGAAGCACTGAAAGAACAGCCAGGAAAAAACGAGTCATACCAGACTGAAAGCCAAACAGTTTGTTATGCTTCTTTAAAAAAAAAAAAAAAAAAAAAGGCTCTTGAGCATATTATTAAAAAAAAAGATTTAATAAGAGGCCAGGCTAATCTTTGTCAGTTAATCCATAAGGGCATTTTAAAACATTTATTTATGCGTGCAGAACAAAGTGCAGCAAAAGTAATCAGTGAGAATTATATCACGCTCGTTTAGTTTTTTTTTTCTTTTTGAGCTGTTAAATCACTCTTATTTAATGTGTCTGTGTGAATCTGTCTGTCCCATGGATGCTTCGTCTTTTCTTTTTCAGTCTCTGATGAAAGCCGTCTTTGTCTCTATGTAAAAGGTTCAAGACGCCGGAGTGTGACGAAGACGCACGGTCTTACGTGGCGGACCCGGAGGACCCGTTCCACGTCAGGCCCCTGCAAGGTTCCCTTCCTCTTTCACACCACGTTGATTCGCTTTGGAGAAATTTCACTTCCTGAAATTTTCGACCAGATATGAAGACAAAATAATTAAGTGAAAAATTGTATTGGCACGCAAACATATTCAATTAATTTGAACATTTTAAAAGGGCGGTATTATGTAAAAATCAACTTTGTTTGAGCTTTATGTTCTGTTAAAATGTTAATCCCTCATCAAAAACGTAGCTGGAGTGTTGCTTGGATTATTTCATGCATGTTTGAGAAATCTTTTAATCTCCCATGGCAACCATTCAACTCTGCAGAACGCTTGGGGGGACTTTGCTCCACCTTCGAGGATGAAGCTCCTCCTTGGAGCTGCAGTTTCAAAGCTTCAGTCTCACAGAGCAGCAACTCCCCCACTCAGCTCCTTCAGACTAGCCAGGAGAAATTGGCAAACAGCTGGTGGAACTGAGCATCTGCTGAGCTTGTTATACCAGCTACATCCCAATGAAATGCTGGTAAAAACGTTGTTAAACAGTTTATAGAGGAGCCATGTTGTGAAGAAAAAAACAGGAGCTTCTTAAAGAAACAGAGGACCAATTTCAAAGCTCTAAATTACACAGTCAAATTTCTTTTAAGTCATATTTTCTATATATACAGAATTTTATGAACAACTTAAGGTAGCATAGTTACTTGTGCTATAAAATGGCACTATTTGCCTGGAAAACACACAGTGCCGCCCCGTTAAAAACATTAGCAATTCTTTTGGGCTTTCCCGAAACCTTTTTTATCCACCTGGGCCAGTTTTTGTGTGTTTTTCGACTACTCTCAGTGGTTTATGTGCCGTGTTTTTCCTCTAAGACAGTGAAATTTGATCAAAGCAGCATTCATCTCGTTAACCAATTTCAAACCGGTTCACTCAAAAACAATTGTGCTGGTCCTGACTTCCAACAGCAGGAGACGAGAGGAGAAACTAGGGTCAGATTAGGATTTTGACCGACTTTTTGAAAAGGATTATAAATGCATAACGGTTAAGCTCTAAAAGTAAATTAAAATAAGTTTTTTAGTTTAGGAGAAGTTTGTGATAATCCACAGACCTTTAATTATTAAAACCTGCAAAATGTGATTCATCGAAAAAAATAACCCTGCAGCTGCTGTGGTTGTCACTCTGGTTTTCAGTTGTGACTGAGGCCTTCAAAGAACAACAGGATTTATGCTGACATTAAATTACACACTGAAGGAGGTACAAGGGGTAGCAGAGTAAAAGTGGACTAAATACAGGTGCACACCACACTTTTTAGATCCTTTCGGGTAACCAAACCAATTCAAAAACCACAGATCGTTTTCCTTCCACTTCACAGTGATTTTCAACTTTGTGCTAATCTGTCATAAAAATAAAATTAGAAAAAGCTAAAGTGGCATGAATACTTTTGCAACATATTAATAAGTGAATTCTATGAAAAATAATAATAAAAATGGATTTCTGGAGAGAAAAAGTCTGTAAAAAAATAGGAACTTGCAACTTGCCGTCATCATCACTGAGCTAACTCTGTTTTCGCCATTGCATAAAGCCTTCTTTGGATCTCGTATTTAAATCCCCATCTGGTGGGTCTACAGAGCGGAGCAGGCTCCTGACTGTGCAGCAGATGTGTGGAAGGTTTTATGGGAGGTGGGGGTGTTGAGTTGGTAGGGGCTGCAGGGCGAAGGGGGGCGGCTGGGGGTGTTGGGGACAGTTTTATGTACTGTAGAAGGATGTTATGAAGCATCACAACAAACCCAAACACACTGCTTTACATCACCGCTCAAACCTTTATCTGTCTTTAATCACCTCACAGCCACAAGCTACAATGTGTTTTATGAGTTTAGGTTTGATTTTACTGTTGAATTATAAAAATTGCACCTTCTATAAAGTCACAGTAGGGTGATATTATGCTGTGGCAGGAAAGGAAAAGTTGGTAAAAGTTCACAGAAGTCATTAAAAACCATGGTAGCAACGGACGTAAACAGCTACATGAACTATATTCATCCATCAGAGGAGACGTTGGCGTCTTACTCAACTGTTGGAGCCGCTATACTCAAGAACATATGCGTCGTTTTGTCATTGCCGATTTTACATAAGGGCTACGGATTCAACATGTTTGAATGACAGATAACTTTATTATGAACAGTGGGGTCCTGTGAGAGGTGGAGCCAGCTGCACACTGTTAAAAAAAAAAAACAAACAAAATCACTGTAGTCTTCTTTGTGGTTTTCACCAGTAGTAATGTTTAGCTGTTGATCACGTGACTCATGCGATGTCAATATTCATATATTTTGACTCGGCTGAAAAACCACCTCATCCCAACACAGCAACTTAACCACGAGTTTTATCTTTTCCAAAATTGGCATGCTTCCAGGAAGGAAATTTATCTTCGTAATTTCAAGTTGTGGAATTTTGTGGTTAATGGGAAACGCAGCTACTGATGTAGTTTTACATTCTTACAACATATGGCCACAAGAAGATCTCATCTCCTGCGACTAAGGGTTTCCATTTGTCAACTTTAGTCATTTAGTTGCACATTAAGCCGCATTAAAAAAACCTCAAAAGGAGAACGTTAAATCTACATTGAAGCAAGACATGTTGATTAAATCAAGCATTTGACGTGAGACCTGACGTGAGAGCGCCACTCAAGTGTTTCAGATACATCCCCAGGACTTTACATCCCATACACCACCCTGTGTGGCAAAGTCCTTGACATTTTGTTGCTAGTTTGTGCAACAACCTAATTTTACACTTGGATGAAGGCACAGCAAGGCACAGTGCCTCCTCAAGCGCCATCGTCGATGACAAAAGGATGTAGCCTTCAAAAAATGAAAAAGCTTCGTACCGAAGATAAGACCGAACAATACGACTAAAAATAGAGCATTATTTACAAAAGACAATTAGGAGGGGAAATTTTGCCCCGGTTAAGTGTGCCCTTAAAAAAGCATACATCTGGGTAATTAAGAGGAACTACCGGAGGTGTTCGGAATTATGTCATAAAAGTTAACGGGTCTGCGCCGCTTGACAAAAAGCTCCCACCTCCCTCCATGTGACTCGGCTCTGTTCTCTTAAGAAAACAACCGGACCGTCGCCTGCGTTTAGCACGTGATCCTTTACTTACCCTTGAGCTAACAGACGGTCTCTGTTTGGGTATTCGTCTTCCTGGTGTCGAGGTGCTTCAGCCTCACTGTGCCATAATTACCCAAATTAGAGTTGGAAGGTAATTTTAGCGTATATCTTTTTTTTTTTTTGTCTTTGATTTGTATCAGGCTGCCCGGAGGGGAAGAAGGGGGAATTCATTACAAGCTTGTTAGACGCTCTCACAACCGACATGGTGCAAGCCATAAACTCACCGGCGCCCTCTAGTGACGGGAGGTAAGACTGAATAAAGAGCAACATAAAGATGCTAATTCTTCGCCTGAGGGTGTGTGTGTGTAACCTTTTCACATATCTGCCTCTAATCCCCGTTAGGTTTGTTGAACCAGATCCCAGTCACACTCTGGAGGAAAGAGTGGTGCATTGGTACTTTGCACAGCTGGATAACAATGGTAGCAATGATATCAACAAGAAGGAACTCAAACCTTTCAAGAGGTACCTGAAGAAGAAAGCTAAACCTAAGAAATGTGCCCGCAAGTTCACCGACTACTGTGATCTGAATAAGGACAAGGCTATTTCGCTGCAGGAGCTGAAAGGCTGCCTCGGTGTCAGCAAAGACGGTAAGAGAAGAATAAGTTTTTGTCCAAGAATTGCTTCGGGGATATATACATATTTTTTTTTTATAAAATACATTGTTAGACTTCAGTATCTTATTTATATTTTACTGGTATAGATCCGTAAAGTGTGAAATAGAACTGTAGTTCTATTTTTATGGAGCTAAATTGGAGCCAAAAGGTTCCAAATTTGTTCAAAAGAAAAAAAATTGAAACTAAAAATTTTGTTTGAAATCAGTTTAAAATCTTTTTCAATTTAAAATTTCTTTTTGGTTTCAAACTTTTTTTCAGTTTCAAAATAATTTTTCAGTTTCAATTTTTTTTTACAAACTTCATGGCCCTAAATTAGCTCAAATATATTCGGAGGCATAATCTAAAGAAAAAGGAAACTACAAAAACAAAAAAGCATTAAGTGAAATTAGTGTTTGCTCACTTTTTGCTTGAACCTTTTACCCAATAGGAGTTTAGTTTGCCTTCTCTTTTATCGCAACTGTTCCTGTCACACTAAGCAATAAAACAACAAATCAATTAATCACATGATGAATTAAAATGAGCTCAATAATTTCCATTTGCATGATTTATTGTTTTTCTCTTTTTGCCAAAAAATGGACAACACAAGTCTTAAGTCTGGTGCTTTGGCCTCAACTAGGCCCTCTTTTTTTCTTGAAGGACAATTTTGCTTATATCAAGTTCATAACTAATTTTATTTGTTGTTCCAGTTGTTTTGTTTATTTACTTGGAGTATTTAAAATGTCTTCCAGTTCCAGTTTTATACGTTTATTAGAACTGAATGTTTATTGATCTGTGATAATGTGTTCTTGCATCATTATGCCATTACCATTATATTACTAGAAAGTAGTTTCAGAACAGCAACATTGTTTTATAGCAATAACAAACTATCTTACGACTTCAAAGTCAGAGGAAGTTTGTAACATTCAGTTCAATATATAAAGATTGAGTTGTGTCCCAAACAAGCATTAACTACATGAGTGCCCTGCCATAAGAGGTTTTTTGTATTTATTTTTTCATTTCTATCTATCTACTAACATACTGCTTAAATAAGGGATTTACTGATATTTTTAGCTACTGACAGATGTTAACAGATGTCAGCAATTTAACAATTAAAGCCGACGAGAGTTTTAGACTGTTATAAACTGAAATGACTGAATTATGATGTTGAAAAAAAATAACAACCACAGAAAAATACCCTGTTCCTGTAGTGAAAACACAACCAGAATGTTCTTTGATTGTAAAAAGATTTTGCTTTGTAACTCAAAGGCAGTCTTAGTCTGTTATCACCATTGCAACGCTTCCAGTTAAAGTTGCAGCAAAATATATCGTAAATCCCACATTTATCTTTGTGATGGTAGGACAAATCAAAGGCTTTTCCTTCCAATCAATCAGCTGGAATGTGGATGACATGTAATAGTTTTTATTGAGTCTTATGTGTTTTATTTGAATAACACACTCTTTTTGTCTTTCCCATTCTAAAATAAATACCTGGAGAAACAAGATGACCCTCTGATGAAGCTGAAAAAAAATTATTTAAAAAATCCTAATCAAAAGTTTGAATAACAAAAAATATTCCAGGTAGTTGTTATTTCACAGGCATTGATAGGCTGATCGGTTCTACGCTTACAAAATAAACAACAAATGACATAAATTTGATATCCAACTTCAGGCACCACTAAAAATGCAAGTTATGATCTAAACTTTTAATATCATAAAAATCTAGGGGTGCACTGATTTATCGGTGCCGATTTCTTTAATTTTGGGAGATTGGTGATCGGCAGATTTTTACATATGAAGCCGATCTTATCCACCGATCTTATATAGCTTGGCAAAAGTCTCAACCACTGTCCTCTTTTGCTCTCCGGTGAGAAAGGTTTGACTGACAGACCGGCCCACCAAGTTAAGTCTGCATGTTTACAGTTAACAACAGTGACCCCAGTGTTGCCAACTCAACAACTTTCTTGCTACATTGAGCAACATTTCAGACAAAAAAAATTGGTATCGGCCAAAATCGGAATCAGCAGGTTAAGCTTTTTAAAAGATCGGTAATCTGCCAGAAAACTGCAATCGGTGCACCCCTATAAAAATCGATTTGTGCGAAATGCGACATTCTCAGCTGTAAATAGTCATTTTATTGGTATGTTTCTCCAGTCCAGTGGCTAAATTACTGAACATCCTTAAGTCGTCAGTCAAACTAAAAAAAATGTTTGGAATGTTTCAAAATTATATAATGCAGCAACGTGTACAGCACTGCTGAATTTGTTAGCAATAATTCCTTAAGATTTAATGTGGTCCCACTAAATAAATATCCTCAAATAAAAGGTTTGGTTTTATAGGATGACGCTATTGCAATGAAAGTTATTTTAAGACTAAAGCGTTTTTGTCAGGAGTGCAGTGACTACTGGGAGTCCTGTGTATTGTTTCAGATTTAACCAGATAAATCAATGACACACGTGTCCATTGAGTTTGATTCCTGTCATTTTCCTCTTTTTTGCAGGAAGCTCGTTGACAAGCGGCAGTCAAGGAACAAGGCAAGGGACAAAACTGTTCAGTAAGCATGCGGGTCTGCTCTCACCAACACTGCTTATAGCTTTAAACACATTTATACCATGTATTAAAACTGTCACTTAGCCACTGTTGATCTTTAGCTGCAAGATTATCCATCATGGAAGGACAGGGAACCCTTATTTCATAGATAAATTGGTGTTTCTTTAAGTAATCAAAAGTATTATTTGTTCTTCCAGTTCTTCGCTACAGATTAAAACTGTTTGCTACTGAAGTTTGATTACTTGCGTAAAGTTCAGAAGGTTACATGCCACTTTGCCTTTAAACAGTTTGGGAAAGCACAGGTGATGATGCCGTAGTTTTGTAAGCTTCTGGTGGACGCCCTTCTGTTCGTGGTTCAGTTTCGTCATATTTGTGGATTTTTTTTCTTTGCGGGACGAAATTCCAAATTATTTGCAAAAAAATTGCCAATTTGCAGATTTTTCTAAAAATAAAAAAATAACAAAAATGCAGCTGGAGATGATGAAATACTTTGGCACAATGCTGCTTGACTCACTATTGGCTGGTGTTTGCAAAGCAGCCAATCCAGAAGCACCAAGAGCAGAAATAAGGAATGTTGAGATTATTAATGCACATTAAGATCTCTTTTAACTATTAAAATGGGCAGTATTGTTTTTAGAGGAAGTCTAATGTATTAATGCCACTGTTCACGGGCTTGTGGGAGCCCACAAAGATCAGGGATGATCTGTAAAGGCAAATACGGATACGTTTTAAGGAAAAACCTCTTACACTCACAAGGTTAATGTTTTGGTCAGAACTAGAAAGATGCGTATGAGCAAGGCATCTCACAGTCCTGACTCAGTTACATGAGTTTTGTCAGGAGAAAATCCCCAACAATATGTTGCCATAAATTTGTGGAGAAACTCATAATGTTAGAAAAATGACCAAAATGACCCAAGTTATCTTGTTTGATAAGTATCTCCAGAAAAGTGCAAAACAAATGAACTGTCGAATGTTTGCTTTTTAGTCTGGCATTTAGCAAATACAGTAGAATGACTTCCGGTCATTGTAACAAAGTATTGTGGGGTTTTTTAGATTCTGTGTAAATGTGTATATATTTCTAGCTTCAAGTGTAAATTTTATACTCAGAGTTTGTGATGTATTTTAGATACTTTTTATCATCACTTTTATTGTCATGGCAGTGAATGCCACAATATATTTTGACAAAACAGAAACCCAAGTCAAGTTCTTTAACAATTAGGTTAATTATTTGTTCAATTATTGACTCATTATCACATTGTTAGCTGCTCTAACACCTCAGTAACCTTGCTGTTTCCATGTTAAACTGTTGCTGATTTGACCTTGAGATGGTAGAAGTATTAAGAAAAGTGCAAACCCAGAAACTGAGAAGAATTACCAAAGTCTTTTTTCTTGTTCCCCTCGCCACCACCTTTCCTTTTCCAAGTCATCTTCCTTCATCTCTCAATTACTCACTCCGCTTGGATTCCCTGGAATTCACATGCTGATTATTATTCCCTCTGGTGCTGCGGAGCCTGGCTACCGGGTCCGCTCAGCGCCACAAAACACTGAAGTCATGTGTTTACCCTGGGCTTGGTGCGGACGGCGGCGGAGAACAGTGGTTCTAAACAGGCATAACGTCAGGGTTGCTCACGAGTCGCCAGAATAAACAGCCCCAGGAGTGCCGGAGCGGAGGAGGAGGAGGAGGCTTGTTCTTACTACAGTCACTGAATCTATCACCTGCATGTTTAGGAGCGGGAGGTGAGCAGCCTGACGTCTTTATGTGGCTCTTATGGTACCACTCAGGCACACGGAGCCGGTGAAGGCTGTGGAGAGAGTGAGTTATGAAATAAGCAAAGGAGACGCAGAAAGCTCGCGTGGAAGAACTGGCAACATATGGCGTTCGCTCGAGGTTGACTAAGATAGACAACCTTTGTGTTCAGGTATGCTTTGCTGCACCTCAATGGCCTGGATCGCTTTAAGTCGAGCTGCTTTTACCAGGCTGTAAATCGTGTCGTGTCCTATCGCAGCTCCAGAGAGTCACGGCAACGCCGTTTGCGTGTATGTTCACGACCACTTTACAGAACGTGCCTTTTCCTCGGCGCTGTGATCGTTTGAGACGCATTATTTGTACGAACCCCATCACTCTTCGCTCGCTGGCATCGGCGAAGAAACCGATCTGAACACCGTGTGTGAGAGAGTGAGAGGTGCCTGAGAAAGTGGCATTCAACTTTCAGCAGACAGAAATCTTTATATGTTCTCTTGTGAACCTTGTGATTGTAATCAAGGAAGCAATTAAATGTACTTGGAGCGATTATTACCTGGTTGAAATTGTTGTAATACTACCGAATACAGCTTGTAATTCCCTAGAAGTTATAGGTTACCTTGCACAACTGGCCAGGACATTCCTGAAACTTTCCTGGGACTTATCAAGTGTTTCCTTGGTACTTACATGACAGTTCCTGGATATTTTCTTAAAACTTTACTGCTATATTCCATATTCTTACACATCTAGCTGGTTGCTTTCTAGAATTTACCAGGTACTTTCCTGGAGCTTTCCTCGACCTTACCAGAATTTAGAGAGTTGTTTCTGGTAGGCCTGTTGCAATAAACAATAAATCAATTAATCACATGATAATTGAACGAGCTCAATAATTTATTGTTTGTTCCTTTCTACTAAAACTGGTCTTCAGTCTGGCCCCTTTTTTTTTAAGAATAATTTTGCTTGCAGAGACTTCATAATTTAGTTTATTTGTTATTTCTGTTTTAAACACATTTGAGAATGTGTTGTTGCATTATTATGCTATTACACTAATTTAACTTGAAAATGGTCTCAAATTAACAATTCATCATTTATCGCAATAACTTCTGGGACAATTTATCAGCCAGCAAAATTTGTTGCTACTTTCTGGATCTTAGTAGGTTCTTTCCTGGAACTTTTATGGCACTTAGCAGGTATGTAGAGTTATTTTTATGAGATAGGTACTTTCCATGAACTTTCATTGTACTTGCTAGCTCCTTTCAAATAACTTGCCAGGTATTTTTCCAGATCTTACGAGGTAATCATCCAGAACTTGGTCTTTACTTTCCTGAACTTGTCTGATACTTTCCATGTATTTTCCTGAGACCGTTAGGGAAAGTAACCAGTAAGGTCCATGAAACTTCAAGGAACATTCCAGAAAGTTCATAGTAAGTTTCAGGAAATCAGCCAAAAGACTCAATGAAAGTTTTGCTAAAGTACCTGTATGTAGTGGAAGTCATTCGCTAAGTTCTGTAATCTAACATCTGAAAACGTATTGCCAATCCTTTTCGTATACTGGGCATTAAGGGCAAACATTTCATGGTTCCTGATATTTTTTTAGTAAGAATCATTGATTTGTAAGTATGTAGAAGTATCTGCTCAGCAGCCTTGGTGATTGGGGTTGTCAGGAGAGACACAAAACAAACTTAGGAGACAGTGAAAATGTTTCTTTCAGCAGGTCTGAGTGTGTCTTGTATTTTCTCTGGCTCTATCTGGAAGGTGAAACTGTAACGACGGTGTTAAGTAGGTCTGGGACCAAAGCTCCGAGCCCAGAGTCTTGTCCTCCTGGAGCCAAACAAATTACTCTGCATCACTTAACGCTTCAGCTCAGTTTGACACTCTAACAGGATGAATAGGAACAGAAGGTGTCAGAGGTGACTTTGATAAAGACAAACACTTTCTTCCTAAGATCACTGCCTTGAATCTAAATCAATCTGATGCAAAAACAACCTTAAAAATCCCCTCATTGGGTTGTGCTGTGGTGGCACAGGGGTTAAGCACAACCCCCATATGGAGGCCTTATTCCTCAATGCAGCTGTCGCAGGTTCGATTCCCAACATTGGCGACCTTTGCTGCATGTCTTCCCCCTTCTTTCATTACCCACTTTCCTGTCAATTAACTATCGAATAAAGGCCACTAGAGCCAAAAATATATATTTTTTTTAAAAATCCCCTCATCATTAGTTGGTATTCGCCTCCATGTACTGATGCAGCACAATCACCAGCTCTCGAGCCAAGCGTTTTTATTGGCCGGTCCCAGGTGAGGTGAGACGATTTAGCGCTAGACAGGATCTGCTTTCAGGTCTTTATCACAAGTGGGGCCAAGGTGTCCAGAGAGAGGCAGGGGAGCTTTGTGTTGTTAATGGCAGAGACAGTCTCCTCAGTGAGCGGGCAGAGAGGAGAGGGAGAGACGTTAAGCGCTCTGGAGCCTGGTAATTGCGTGGCCAATTCCTGGGCACTAATGTCACTCGGCTCTGAACAACGGAGACATTTATCTGAGCTAAAGGAGAAGGAAAGCATGACTTCAGGGGAAGACGATGTCAGAAATGTTTGCGTTTGCAGGTATGGCGTACGTGTTGCCGACATACAAAGATTGCAAGTTGACTTTTTTTATTTTTTAAACCACTGATCACATTGAAAGTGTTTGAAAAATCTAAGCTGAACTGTGCTGATTTGGGGAGCAAAACTTTTTTTGTTTGTGCTGCTATCATTTTAAGGATATGAATAAATGTTTCCAGAGGTCATGAAAAGGTCAACCAGCCACTGTACCTTCTTAAAACCAAACGAAATTGGTATCAATCAACTCTATGTCTGTGCTGATGAAAATTTTTGATATTTATTGCATTAATAAATATGAAAAGGCAATTTTTTGTGCAATTTCGTGGTACAAATCAGACTTCAATGTGCGACTGCTGAACTAAAGAAGCCTATAACAAATGGAAACACTTTTCAAGAGCATTATTTGTGTTTGTGGAGGTATAAATGCTTAGCACAGCAATACAGTTACCTAAAAAATGAAGTAGTAAATAGTTCTTATCGTCACCTTTATCACAAAATAAGTCTATATCGCTCACCCATTGTTCACTCCACAGAATATTTCCCAAAACTCTTAGGAATCATGAAGATGTTTTTTTTTTCCTGCAAATATTTTGATGTTACATTCCACAGGAAAATCTGTAAACACTGAACCTTGACTAAGTTGACGGGGGTCCAAAGTAGCATATTGCTTAAAAGACTGTTGCAAAAAAACAAAAACAAAAAAACGGCAGTAACATAGTTGTGGCGTTTTGATCTGGAGAATCAGCATTATTTGTTTTTATGAGCAAATAGTTTGTGAGCTCGGAGGAATTAAAACTGTTTTATGTAAAACAGAAACGCGCTCAAAATAAAATTTAGCGCTCTGGATGGAGACGCTCCTCTTGAAGTGGTTGTGCTGTTGTTCCCACTACAGGATCTGCTCCCATGGAATGCAGCCTGTGATTTACTGCGTGTGGGATGAGTTGTGATGCATTCAAGTTTAAACAGCAAGCCGAGTAGTAAATACTTCATAAAAACTCTGGAGAAGCCCTGGGAGTGAAATCAGCTGGACTTGTAATTTACTGCGTACACGGTCAACAGTGACAGGAAGTGCACCTGCGTGACCCCCTGTCCCCCCGCCTCAGACGCCCTCCACCCACACAAAAACGCAGTTTGATGTGTGCCGTAAGGTCGGATGGGCATAAAAAAAGAAACGCCTAGTCGTCCTTCGCTGGCCTGATCCGACGCAAGATGTAGTTTAATTGTAGAAATGTGCGGCCCAGAACAAATCGGAGGCCTAACATGCTCCCGTTTGACGGACGGGACATCTGCAAGCAATCTGCGCTCCGTGCCCATCTTCTTTTCTCACAAGCCTCTCCATCATTCTTTCTTCTGCTCGCTTTTTTTTTTTTTTTTTTCTTTGTACCCCACCCCCAACATTTCTGACTGACTGATGAGCCGGAGACGCTCCTGGGCAGTTTGGGCATGATTGCACAACAGAGCAGGACTTGAGAGGCTCGTGAACACATGAAGGATTCACCCTTCAAAAGTGTTCATGTGTCTTTAAATCTTTCATTTTATGCACAAACGTAAATGGATGCCAGACCAACTAAAGAGCTTATAACAGTGATTTTTACTTTTTATTTTTATTTTTTGCACAAATGAAAACCTTCTTATTCGACCCCATTTAATCTGATACCCCTGAAATGAAATTCAGAACAACTGGTCCCTTTCTGAAGCCACCTAATTATGAGAACACACTCATGTTTTATTTATCCTGAGTGTAAATCCAATGTTCTGTAAAATTCACACAGAGAGACATGGGGGATTCTTTACACTTTTCTTCAGCAGGACCAGAGAAATATCGAGCATTTGAGAATAAAAGCTGTTGGCTGACATGAACTGATACCAGGCTGGAGGTTCAGCTTCCAACAGGACAGCTATATGCTGTTAAATCTGCAGTGGAGTGGTTTAGGTGATAGGCTTATTCACGTGTCAAATGGCCAAGTCAAAGTCTGGACTTGAATCCAATTTAGAATCTGTGGCACGACTTGGAAGTTGTTGGTCAAAGACGATCTCCATCCAGCTGCACTGAGAATCAGCAACACACAAAGTGCAAAAGTTTCATTCTCTAGATGTGTAATGCTGGAGGCATGTTTCTTTACACTGAGGCTAAATGTAAAAGCACAACGCACCTTTCAGGTTTTTATCTGTAAAAAGTAAAAAAAACTACTTGTTTTCTTTCCTCTTACAATTAAGCACTCTTGTTTATGTTCCGTCAAAAGTAAAATGCAATAAAACACATTTAAAGTTTTGATTTTTATATGACAAACTGTAAAAGAGTTAATGGGGTGTGAATACTTTTTGAAGGTCCTGTATATAAACGCAGCGTGTTGATGTTCTCAAGTCGTACTCACTTATTCAACTTAGAAATTAAGTTGAATAACTTTGGCTCTAAATTGGAAAAAAGAACAACTTTTTTTTCTTTTTGCTCACACAGCTGACCTGATGAAACACACGTTTCACTTCTGTGTGTATCGTTTAAAGCAAACATGTGTCTGCTCCAGGTCATGTCAGTGTGACAGCGTATCAGGCCCGTTAAGACTAAATTTGCTCCAAAAAAGTCAGAAATTTTGACATTAATCTCAGAAATTTTCTAAAAAAAAGAAATTTCGGAGTCTCAAAAGTCGAACGTTTTTGATTTTTGGATGTTATCTGAGTTTTTTGATGGAAGTTTAATCTAAAATGAATCTAATTCATTTTCTGATATCCACAATGGCCCTCTTACGCCCTCGTACGTCAACTCATGTAAAACAAACATACAGAAAAAATAGAAAAAGCTGAGTCACGCACGTTCTCTCTCCAACGCTTCGTCTCTGTGTCTGTCCTTCCAGTCGGCCGTCTGGCGTGAGGAGAGAACGGACGAGAAGCTGAAGACGAGAGCAGAGGAGACGCGTCTGCACGCTTCCTGACGGGAACTTAAAGACGGAGCAGAGAAATCAAGAAGTTTCTGAATCGACAAAAAAGAAAAAAGAACGAGAGAGAGAGAGAAAAGAAAAGCAACACAGCGGCGCCAAAATAATTGCACTTTTTCCTCCCTATGTCTGACATATTAACTGCTTTTTTTGTTTGTTGTTTTTTTTTTTATCTTGAAGTGACTGAGAATTCACTAAGTAAAAAATGAGAATATATTTGTAAAGAGTTGACAGGCTCACCACTGGAAGAGCGTGTATGTGTATGTAACCACTCCCCTCCCCTGCTGTACGTTCAGTCTGCTGTGTTGATTTGTTCAGTCCATATGTTTCAATCCCAGGCCTGTCCAATAAAACGTTACACCACCCGACCCCCATGTTCCCCCCACCACCGTCAGACATGCTGCAGCAGCAGACAGCTCAGCGGCGAAGCAACAGACAACAATCAAAAACAAAGTAAATCAGTGTGAACCCACTGACTTACACCTGATTGGTCAGCATGAAACAATGAACTCTATGAATTCCCTTGCGCCGGCTACAGATCCGTTGGAGTTTTCCTCGTAAAAACACAACAAACCCCCCCCCAGATGTTTGTGCCGTAAACAGGAAAAGAAAACAAAAACTAGCTGTAAGTACTTAGCTGTGCCATCCAAAACCGATGCGAGACCATCTGCACTAAATACTTCATACTGTCTGTTAGCTAAAGAACAGCACAACAAAACATAATAAAAAAAAGGCAATAAAAAGCAGTGAAGTAGTTCAGACGATACCTGCGGTGGCGTAATGCATCTCTTCTTCAGGACCCAGCGGGTGATTGGCTGACAGCACAGCCGTCAGTCGAGCTCCACTGCTAGCTCCGCTAACTCAAGTCTTGCCCCTGATTCTACTTTTTCTTTTTTTTTTGTCTGGCGTTACACATGAACATCCTTTGATTGTATCTCAGGCTGTTTGTTTCGTGTTGCCCTGTTGGAAGATGAGCCTACTGGCTAGATGTAAAGTAGCTCCGTCAATTTGACCAGCTTCCCAGATCCCCACAGCATGATGCTGCCGCCACAGCAAGATGCTGCAAACCTCTGAGGTCTTCAACTGGATTCATAAATTGTGCGCAGAAACACTTTATTCACTAAGCAGGCGACTTCTAAACTCAGTCAAATGCGCTGGATTTTTATTTGAGAGTATTGGAGCAAAGGGGCTGGATACAAAAAAGCACACCACCTGTGCTTTACAGATTTTAAACAAATGTTTACAGATTTTTACCTGTAAAACATTTGAAAACCATGTATTATTTTTTTTTACTTCCACTTAACCTTGAGTCAATACTTTGAGAAGCCTGAAATTAGTGGATGTAAAGTGAAATTATATGATTCATTTCAATTCACTTGCATGCAATTGTAACTTCCAAAAATGACCAATAGGGACAGTATTGTGTAGGAAAATAGCCTTAGCTTTATCAGGTAGCATGATGGTGGACTAACAGTCATCTGCAGAGCTAAATATCAAAACGACTTTTAAAAATGAGTTAATGAGGGAGAACAAAGATTTCAGTTTATTGTTTGCTGTTGCTTTGGTTAATTAGCTGGAGTCTTGACGTATGAAGATTCTGGTTTTAAACAGAAAAAAATAAAAAAACAAAACAAAAAATCAAGAAAAATTTAAACAAAATGTGGCACAAATTTCAATTTCATAAAACAAACGTGTTTTCTGAGCATCGATGCCGTTACCGTTTGTTCCTCCGATGCCTCATGTCGGCGTTCATCCCTGGAACAATTGACAACATCCACCTCAAACTCGCCCCACTTCATCTGATCCCGCTCTAGATGCAAAAACACAAAGCCAAAAAACAACGGAGCAGCGAGGGAAGAAATATTAAATCTTGTAGGAATGTGAAGCATAAAAATTCCTCCCCACATTTGGGAACAATTGGGTTTCAAAGTAGGAGAAACGCGCTTTCGCTGCTGGAGTCTGGACGCTCATGTGTGTGTGTTTGGATATTTTTTGTTTGTTTTTTTTCTCCCCCCCCCACCACAAATATCTGCAGCGGCTCATGGACACGAAATGCTTTTTGTTGTAAATATGTACAATAACCTTTTTGTTTGACGGTTTTACTAAATTCCACTACAGTGGCATGATTTTAAATGTACTTCACTGTCAGCGTAGCTTCTTGTAAAACACATCCCCTGTTCTTCTTCTTCTCTGTTTACCAAGTGTCAAACATTTTGACTTGTTGAGTAACTCATTCATGCTTAAATCCGTAGACTGGGCTGTTTATTTTGGATTTTTTTTTTTATCCGTGCTCTGCTTCATTTTGTGTCTGCCTTCATCACTGAACACCAGCAGGAATGTAACAGCATCTGGTGCTTACAATCAGAAAGTCCGGTTATTTCTTTTCTAACTTGAACTGAACATTTGTGCCAAGAACCAGAGAATAATCCCATCCTTCCTCGAGTCCTGTGCAGTTTCTCCTCCTGAGTGAACTTAACTTTTTTTTTTTTTTCTCCCTTCCCATCCAGGTTAGAAACACAAAGCTTTTGTGTGTCTGCCGAAGTGCTTCCAGACGCAGGCGAGCTGCAGATTGTTCGGAAACATCTTAAAAACGAGCCAACAGGCTGACAATCAGCACAGATGGCGATGGGATGTGTGTGTGTGTGTGTAGAGGGGGGTGCTGCAGCTGGCTGTCACTCTGACTCCAACAGTGTTTCAAAGTTTTTTATTTTTTTAACTAAAATTTGAAGAATGAGACCTGACTCCAACCCAAGGCAATTCTTTATAAAGTAAATTATGTGGCTCAAAAATAATATGTTCTATTCATCATAATAATGTAGCAAAAAAATTATAATAATAAAGAAAAAGAACAAAATGATCTTATAAAGTGAATCCTGTCATTAGGCAGGAACATATAAAACTCATTTCAAGAGCTTTGTTTCTTTCCTGAATATGCTTTTACGAAGAAAAAAAATATATTTTTTTGGCCTTAAATTTAGTAAACAAACATCTGAACAGGTGTGGCATTCTTAACTTATAACAAAAACAGTAATAATACAAAGTTCATAACATCTGTTTAATCCGACTAGTCGAGAGAGATTCTAACAGTGGAGAGAAGGAGTTTTACACTGCCCCCACATGGTGAAGATGGGTAACTGCATTCATAAAACAAAACAGTAAAACTGGCAATTTGCTTCTTGGGTGAAGTCAAAACCGTATGTCTTAATGTAATACACATCAAATTATGGTAAACATCCAAAAGTCTAATGTATGAAAATATACCTACTCAAAATAAAGCTGGAATTTAACCATTACTGAATATTTAATTTACACACTAATCTGCTTGATTAAAATTTCAATACATTTCTTGACTAATATGTTCCCCAAAATTCATTTGTGTAGCGTATAGCACTAAATTCCTTTTTTGTGATTTTTTTTTGTCAAACATTTTTAAGAAATCACGCAGAAATATTTTTAGAAAACCTCATGGAAAAAAAAAACAAAAAAAAAAAAACTAAAACATTGGGGAGCACTGAAACGAAAGATTTTTAAAGGCCATTCAAGAAATAGTAACTTTGGCTAAAATAGTGCTTTATATTTATCATAAAACCTTTTGTATTTACATCATATTTATAAGAAATAATGTAAAATGGCCAGCTGCTCCGAGGCTGACAGTTCTACTGAAGTAAAAGAAATGCTCAAAAAATTTCACACATCATCCGTATATGTATATAAAAAATACATGAATGAATAACCCAGACTCTTATGATTTAGTATTAATTAAATGGTGCAATATATGATGGTAAACATAGAAATCCCCTCTTCTAAGCTTCTTTAAACTAATAAATTGCAAAAAACTAAGTTGTTTTTTTTGCCCTTTTTGACCGGATTGTTTGTTCATCTGATTTAGTGATGAGACTTCAAAGGTGCGGATGTTGTCTGTGCGTGATGGAGCTGAGGTTGCTGAAGAGGGCCAGTGTGTGTGGGTGTGTGTGTGTGTGTGGGTGGAGGGATCGTAGATGAAACCAGAGCCAGGAAGCAGCTGCAGTACATCTGTCTTGCTCTAACACATGTGGCATTTGACTTCTAGTGTGAAGTTCAAAAGAGTTTTATAATGACGCAGCTGCTTTAGGATCTGTGTGTGCGTGTGTGTCGGGCTGGGGGTGTGTGTTCTTATTCGTTACCGTTTGGGTTGAGGGTAGGCAGGTTGCGGAGGGCCTTCGGAGCTGACTGGTGAATTTGGAGCGCAGACAGTGATGTATTGGCAGTGCAGGTGCAGCATGACGGTTCACACACACGCTGCCCGTGTCAAATCAGCAGGTTTTGGAGCAACAACCTGTTTGCTAAAACAACAGCAGCAAACATCAAACACACCGTGTACACATAGTTGTATTTGTCACAATAACAAATGATAAATTGGATGATAAATTGTCCAATTAATTATTTTTGACAAATGATATTATTGTCGCTAAGAGACCATTCTCAGGTCATAAATGGTTTATTATACTGATAACAGCAAAATGATGCCAGTACACCAATAAACTGAATTTTGTAAAGAACACTTAACACTAGAACTGGGAGATAATTTGAATATCTGAAGAACCAAAAACAAGAAATTAAACGGAAATAAAAACAAACAAACAAATAAAACCAAAAAATAAAATGGATTATAATGAACAAAATTGCATAATATGAATCATGAGAGTAGAAATGATCAAGCTCAGTTTACTCTATCATGTGTTTAATTGCTTATTGTGGCAGATTTTGCTGTATGTTATTTGTTCTACTTGCAGTAACCTGAGAAACTTTTCACTTTGCCACCACAAACTTTAATGTAGTTTAATGAGATATTATGTAACAGACCTGCACTAAGTAGTGCTGGATTCTGAAGTGGAAAAAACTGGCAAACAGTCTTCAAGTTCTCATGACAAATACAAACCTGATGAGTGTGAACTGGGATGAAGAAGTTTTTTTTAAAGCAGCGTAAGGTTACAAAACAATATTTTAAGCTTTGACAACTTTTCAATCCTTAAAACGTAAAAGTATTTAACAACTGCAGGAGAGCGTTGGCAAGAAACGCTGCCAAAAAGAGACTCTGTTGACAAGACAACGGTGATCCAGCGAGACCAAAACAACATTTTTGATCTACTTACGACAGGCTGTACATGATGGAAAGCAAAACATCACCCGTATTGCTGCATATCCACAGTGAAACACGGTGGAGGCAGCATCATGTAGGGGGCGTGTTTTTCATCAGCAGGGACAAGGAAACTGATCAGAGTTGATGCTCAAACAAATTGAGTTAAATCCACAGAAATTCTAGAGGAAAACCGAAAAACCAGTCAAAAAACCTCAGACATCGACCATTGTGACGTCTGGGGACGGTTGTTGCAAATTAGCCGTTTCTTTAAGTGCTAATGCATATAAAATGTTAAGATCATGTTTGTCACTACCAAGAAAGAAAAACCCCAACTCTTTAGATGTATAAAACAGGTTAGAATATACTCTAAATGACTGGTATTGAAATAAAAACCAAATTGAACAAAAATCTGAAGTTAAAGGAGCTGAATAGTGAAGCGTGCCACACTTTCCAGTTTTTCTTTAGTAAAGATAAAAAAAGAAGAAGAAAAAAAACATTCACTTCACAGTAATGCGCCATACAAATGTTAGGCTGTAAAGCTGCAAAATGACTCATGAATACTTTAGCAAGTAACGCGTGACCAGACAAGCCTCAATAACCTAATTGGGAATTTAAAAAAGAAAAAAAAATGACATGGAAACTATAAAAATAACTTGGCAAACGGCGTGTATAAAAACACAAGGTTTTATGTTACACCAGGCCGCTAGAAGCGCGTTTCAGCTCATCTGTTTAGAATTTAGTTTTAATTAAACGCAACGTTCACCGACTCTCCAGATGTTCTTGTGGTGATGAGCAAAATTGCTTCATAATTTCCTGAGTTTTTTTTTTTTTTTAGGGTGCATTGAAGCACTTAGGAACAGATCAGGAACCCCATTACAGGTAATTTGAAGAGAGCCATTAGCCTGTACTGAGGTGGGAGTATGAGGGGGGCGTGCTAGCTATGCACTGCTCACCATTTGTGTCTGGTGCCCTCTGTGCCCCACA